TCAAATTGGGAATTCAAGGGAGTTTTAAACTGCTGCCTCCTTCAGTTCAAGCCTCTGTCATTGGCTGAAAACCAGATGATGGGCAGGGGGTGTAGGGGACCAGCTACAAAACTCCTCACTTGCAGCCCTGGTTTTTCTGACAGAGCTGGAAATTGGGGGGAGTACTGAAAAACATTCCTATGAAATGTTTTGTCTTTTAGAAGGAGTGACATTGTTTTAAAGAGAGTGGGCACGCTGCAGGCACACACGGCTCTTAAATACAAAATGCATTTCTGCATCTAGAAGGATACCTGATCTTCATGAGAGCTCTTGTCAGCTCTCTCTCCCAAACCAATACCAAGTTTACCAACAGAACGAGGTTTGAGTTCAGTGGCACCTTTAAAACCAACAATGTTTAATTCTGGGTATAAGCTTGTGTGTGCCAGAATTAAACTTTGTTGGTCTTGAAGGTGCTACTGGACTCAAACTTTGTCCTCTTGCTTCAGACCAATGTGGCTACCCACCTGAATATATACCTACAGAATGGGTATCATTGTTGCCCCACCTTATTGGAGAGGAAAAAAATCAGGAGATAGGTAGAAACTGCACTAAAGCCTCAGAGGAGAACCCTTAGAGCTCTCTAACCAGTAGCCACAGAAGGAAGAAGACAGTATCTAGGTGGAACTACAGTTAGCTGTGCAGATACTATTATCAGTGTTCCCTCTAAGCTGAGTCAGTGTGAGCTAGCTCACAGTTTTTTTAGCCTCCCGCTCACAGATTTTTGTCTCAGCTCAGGAAGGATGGCTCCAGAGCAAACTAATTTATGCAGTAGCCAAATGGCTCGCTCACAACTTCAATACGAGTAGCTCACAAAGTACAATTTTTGCTCACAAGACTCCACAGCTTAGAGGGAACATTGACTATTATTAACCCTTTGTACGAGCTTTATTTCTGGCCAAACAATGTATTTTATGTTAACACAAAGCTTGTGTTTTCTGTTTAATTTGTATTTTTCCTGCTTTTGGGATAGGCAAAACTTATTTCAAAAAAAGTATAGATTCAGGGAGCATAGGGTGCATCAGCTTCTGGTTTTCTCTTAAGTACTAGGTATACTTACAACTTTGCTTGACAAAAACTAAGGCACTAATAACTTAAATTCCATAAATATTTCAAATATTGCAATTGTATATACTTAGTAAGTTATAAATGATACAGTTTGGTGTAGTGGTTAAGTGCGCAGACTCTAATCTGGGAGAACCAGGTTTGATTTCCCCACTCCCCCCCACTCCTCCACTTGCACCTGGCTGGATGACCTTGGGCAAGCCATAGTTCTGGCACAGCTGTTCTTGAAAAAGAGCAGTTCCTGTCAGAGTTCTCTCAGCCCCACCTACCTCACAGGGTGTCTGTTGTGGGGAGGGGAGGGGAAGGGAAAGGAGTTTGTAAGCTGCTCTGAGACTAGGTAGTGAAGGGCAGGGTATAAATCCAATCTCTTCTCTTCTTCTTAAATTAATTCAGATTTTGTAGGACAGCAAGCATTGCACATACTTCAATTTCCCCCAAAATATTTGTTGCCCCCCCCAACTGCTTTTTTTCTGTGGCTTCAGAATTTCCAGAAATTTTACATCTCTAACCAGGAATAAAGCCCCCTTTCCAAAACAACTCAATCAAGACAGACTTTCATTTTACAGGATTCTGCTTTATTTACATTTTCAATATTTAAAAAGCATAATTTCAAACCCTTTTCTGTTCACCCAGTTTTAAGTTTGCTGGCTTGAAACAAAAACAAGAGTTCAGTGGCATCTTACCAACTAGCAAAAACATTTGTTATTAACCTCTGCAGTGCCTCTGGACACTTGCTTTGTTTAGCTCCTGCAGACTAACACGACTAGCCACCTAGGCTTAAAAAAAAATCTCAATTGCTGTACATGGAAAACAAAACTTGAAAGTTCATCCTACTTGAGACAGGAGCAACGTTCATTTATACATAATCTGTACATCCACACTTAGCTCAATGAAATACAATTTACAAACCATTTAGAGAGATGATGCCCCTCCAAGGTCCCAGATATTAGCATCTAACATTCCTCAGCACACCTCTCTCTTTGGAAACAGATCCCACTTATGATGGCAGAATTGACGGACTAGAGCGCTAGCTGAAAGTTCTCAATTTCCAACTGGAACCTCAACTTTATGATGCACACACAGACTGAAATCCCCACCTGACATTTGGGCCAAGGCAGGGAGAAGGTACTGAAAGTCAGAGCCGGCTCACCCACTAGGCGAAGTAGGCATTCACCTAGAGTGCGGGCGGCCCTTAGGGGTGCCAAACAGGACCCGGGGGCCCCCCGACAAAAGGACGCGGAGGGGCGCAGCAGCAGCGGAGCCAAAAAGAGTGTGGGCAGAGTGGCGGGTGGGGAGAGAAGCTCTGATAGGACTTTCAAGCAGCCTTGTTCACCACCGCCGCCTTAAGCCAGCCGGACCCTCGAAGGCGGGAGAGCGCGTGTGTCCTGGCCGGCCGACCAGCGGAAAACAATAGGTGAGGGCGCAGGAGCGTGGGCAGACGTGACGGGGGGGTGGTAGGTGGCCCGGCCAGGGGGGGAGGCCCAGGCTGATGCCTGCTGGAGCTGCCCCGCCGCAGCCTCCCTGGGAGGGCCCCTCTCTGTGTGTGCACCTTGGGGTTTAGGCGAGGCAGGGGTGGGACTGAGTGGGTGGACTGCCCCCAGGGCCCGCAGCGGGTGTGAGACAGGCGGCCAGCTGGGAGGTCTCCAGGCCCCACCAGGAGGTTGGCATCTGAGGGGGCACCAAGAGGCGGCCTTGCCTAGGGCGCAGAAACCCCTTGGGCCAGCCCTGCTGAAAGTAAATCTCCTCGCCAACCCCCCACAAAGGTCATTTTCACTTCATGCCTCCAGTGGCTTCATGGAACAATGCTAATTAAAACAGCCCCCCCATTCCATCCCATTTAAGTCCTGCACGAATCATCCTATTCTTATTTTTGCCTCAAAGAGCCTACTTTAATATTTATGTGCCCCCACAACCCACCCACTCGCTTCTCCCAGCATGCCTCAGTATTAACAAGCCTTTCCAGACTATCTTCATTCCTGCAGGACCACCAAAAGTCTCCACAAATATGGATTTACACCACTGGACCATCCTGGCACTTGCATCTCACAAAGGCAAGGCTGAGGATATGCAAGGAGTTCACGGTGGCAGAATGGAAATAAGTGCCTTGGAAAATACACACAGACACACACTCAGTCCCATTCACCTGTAAGAAGCTTCTGCATTTTAAAAAGTCAGGGAGGGCCTTGAAACGGTAAGGAAGAAAATGGCCCTGTAATTTACAATGTGCTCAGCTGAAGCTCAAACCCCGAAAGTTTTTTTTCTTTTTTTAAAAAAAGTCAGCTCTCTTCCACACATCCGTTTGTTTTCTCAGCTGCACAAGTTTTTAATACATTCAGCTCTAAAAACACAACAACATGGAGACTGTTCAGTAAACAGGTATAAATGAGCAGGTAGACATACGGCTCACTCCATCAGCCCATCTGTAGACTGAAGCATGTCCGAATGAGGCTGAATACCTGACACATTTCCCTGGATTCTGAAAAGGGACTCTGCTGTGCTGGCCCAACAAGGAGAGTGGCCAGAGATGGTGGCTTCCCACCACAATCAAGCCTTTTGCCTAAGTAGATGGCACCCCACACACACACAGTTCCAGGAGACAAGGTTCACAGACTCCTGCCTCCTAAGCAGCAATGCGATTGCTAGCCTACTGTCTAGCAAAACCACATGCCAAGGGAATGAACCAAGGCGAATCGGTGGGCAAGGTGAATCGGTGGAGAAAGATGGGCATGGCTTATGCTTGATGCCATGAAAAGACACTGGCGGGAGATCTCTGGGGGCAGCAGGTGAAATACCACTGCTAATTACATGCTGTTTCTGCCTCTCTTCCACCTGCACTCCCTTAGGCCTCCTCTCTTTCAAACACTCATCATTCCCCCAAACTTTTTCAACTCCAAAACACCACAACTCGAAGCAGATTTTACAACAAGAAAACAGGAAAGATGGCAAAGAAATGGGAACTGCAGAATCAGTACGAATGCCCTCTACAAGCCTGCAATGGTTTTAAGCCAAAGGGTCACATCCAGCTGCAGTCGCCCTCTGGCAAGGGAGTGATGGACAAATGAGGGAGCATCAGGTGTTAACTCATGCAGGAGGTGACAGCTGGCTCCATGTTTATGCAGGCTTCTTACAGCCCTGGCATCTCTCCCCCCCCACACACACACACCGCTCTAATGGCAAGTAAGAAGAACACAAATCCAGGACTATCTTCCTCAGCATCTTTCTACTCTGATGGAGAAAGCTGCAGGATTAGAGCTACCACCTGCATGTAATCCAGGCAGAGGGGAAGGCTTTACCTCACCCTTTATAAAGGAAAAAATACTAAATGATGTCAACCTTTTCTACCAGCATCTCCTGTCCCATTTTGCCCCTCCCGGCCAGGGCAGCTCTCATGATGCAGAACGGGGAGGAGGGGGGGGGGGGGGGGGGGAGCGTCCCAGCGACCACAGCGGAAAAAACGCAGACCCAGCCAGAGAGGATGGAAAATTAAGTCTGTACCATCAGGAGCCCCAGAGACTGTTCTTAGTTCCCTTGAACTAACGGGGCCACGGAATCGCTCTCAACCAGACTCTGGTGCTCCCAAGAGTAGCCTATCACAGAATGAATCTCCTCCTCTCAGCTGAAGAAGGCTTCAGGATGGCTTCTCAGTAGCACCCTTCCAGGTGAAACAACACACTCATGCGGGGAGAGCTCATATCTGTCCAGCTGAATTTACAAAGACCTTTGTCTAAACCAGGAGGGAGGAGGGGGGAGGGGGGGAGAGAGAGAGAGAACAGAGGTGGATTATTTTTAAAAGGCCAGTGAAGGCATCTGCTTTCAGCCTTCTGAAAGCTAGAGCTCTCTTCC